GGGGGGGGGAGCCGCGGGGCCCTGGCCGCGGGCTGGCCTTGGCTCGGCTGCGGCTGGAGCCGGCGCTGCGCTGCACTGGGCCCATGGCCTGCTCGCCCTGCCTGGAGGCGCGCCTGCGCCTGGCCCTGCCACCTGGCACCGGTGAGCCCCGCCGCCCTGCGCCATCAGGCGTCCCTGGGGCAGAGGGCAGCGGTGAAGAGGGACAGTGGTCACGGATGGATGGGGCTGCCTCGTCCCAGCCCAACATCACTGGGTTGCTGCTGCTCTCCGGGCACGCATATGCCTCCTCCCGCTGCGTGGCTGTGGAGGTCTGGGCACCCCTGGCCCCCACGCTGCCCGGCCGACCCCTGGTATGTAGGTGCGGGGTGCCAGGGACGAGTGTCCCCGCCACTGGCAGTCCCCGGGTGCTGCAGTGCATGGGGATGTGGGTGCTGGCACCGGTGTGTCTCCGTGGCACAGTTGTCCTGTTCCCCCATGCACCGGCGGTGCCGGGGCCTCGCCGCAGCGCGGTGATGGTTTTCCTGCCCAGGGCTGGGTGACTTTCCGGTGTTTCGAGGCGCCGTTGGGCTCTGAGCTCCACGTCACGGCGTACACCAACTCGCGTGGCCGCCGGAGGCTGAGCCAGCAGCAGCGGGTGCCAGGTGAGCCCCTGGCGTGCCCTGCCGCCGCGGCCCCTGTCTCCCCTGCCTGCTGACTCCATCTCCCCGCAGACTGCTCGTGGCCCGCGGCGCAGGCTGCCGTCCCCCAGTGCCAAGGTAGGTGCCGGCGTCCCCCCCGGTCCGTGGCAGCACCGGGACCCTGCTGCCTTGGCGCATGTCCCCTGGGGAGCTCTGGGTGGTGGGTGCTGGGGGACAGGGTGACCCCTGGGGTGCCGTGCCCTGTGCTGGGCTGGCGGTGCCAGGTGCCCTGAACTGCCTCCGGTGCAGTGCCCAGGCTGCAGGTCTCCCCGGGGCTGAAGGAGGTGGTCGTGGAGGTGCAGGGAGCCGTGGCGGGGCACAACTATACCCTCCGGCTCTACCACAACCAGAGCCACGGCCACTGGTCAGGGCACACGGTGAACATGGTGAGTACAAACCCCTTCCCTGACCCCCTACCCTGGCCAGGCTCTGGCCGCTGCCGGCTCCGTCCCCGGGAAGCCGTGTCTCTGTTTCAGGCAGGGTGCTGGGAGAGGGTCCCTCCTGGGCTGGGTGACCCTGCCGGGGGCTGATTTGCCGTGGGGTGACCCACGTCTGGTTCCTGGCGGCAGAGCGGCCCCATGAACTACAGACTGCCAGCTGACGAGGTGCTGCCCTGCCTCTGCCTGCAGGTGGGTGCCTGCCGGGCACCACAGGGGTGGCAGGGCTGCCGCCAAAGCAGAGGGACTCCGGGCACCGTGCAACTCCCTCCGGCATCCCGAGGGGGCCAGCCGGGTCACGGTCACAGCCTGGGCACCCCAAATCCTTTTATTCCTCTCTCCAGGTCTGGCTGGAGACCCAGGACCCACCACGGGCCACCCTGTGCCCCTTCTCCCACGGTACCCATGCTGTGGGGCTGGGGCGGGCTGGGACGCAGGGGGACCCCGAGGGGACACCGCACAGGGGTGACACCCCTCTCCCGCTGCCCCTGCAGATGCCGAGGCCTGGGAGCGGCTGTGGGCACGCAGCCGGCTGGTCCTGCATGCCGAGGGGCAGGTGCTGACCTGCTCCCTCTCGGCCCCCTGCGACCTCCCGGCCGAGCTGGTGCCCTGCTGGCAGCCGGAGCCCACCGGGCCCTGCCAAGCCCTGCCTGGCCTGCAGCGGCCTGCCGTGGGGCTGGTGAGTGGGGCTCTGTGGGGCGTGGGGACCCGGGAGAGGACGCAGGTGGCACTGATGGAGCATCCCTTCCACCCACAGGGACCCCAGGAGTTTGGGGGGCTGCAGCCGCACCCCAACCTCTGCGTACAGGTAGGAGGTACCTCCCTGCCCCACAGCTGCCCCACGGGCAGCCCTGGGCACTGCTAACCCGCTCTCTGGGGCAGGTGTGGAGCGGTGGGCAGGTCCGGCTGACCCAGTGCCTGCGGGAGCGTGAGTATTGCTGGGGTGGGAGGGCAGGGGCAGCC